AAAAGACAAGAAAACTCCTGCTGCCTTAGGAACCTGCAAGTTTGCTGTGGCCCAGCCTTGCGCTGGCTGCAGGGAGAGAAAGCGGGCCGTGACGGTGTGCTGAGCTGGTCCTCAGTGCAGCAGTGAGGGAAGTTCCCTCAGTGCCACCTCCTAGACAGGTTAGTGCCAGCAATTCCTTTGTCTTAACCAACTCCCCTTGCGTTTTCTTCGTTTAGTCTGCAGGCTGCCTAGGTCACAACCAGCTGGTGCTTCCCAAGTTGCTGATATCCGCTCGCGCGCCTGAGGAAATTTAAGGAAAGGTTCCTCGGTCACACGTGCGAAGGCACAGCTCCAGCTCCCTTGTGGCGGTCCACAGGTCTCAAGGGTTCTGCAGGGAGCTCTTTCGTCACTTGCATGCTGTTAACACCCTTCCTTCCCCAAAGGCCTCTGTACCGGCTCTCCTACTCCTCAACCTGCAGACCCTGGCTTGGAGTCACTTCCTCAAAACACCCTCCCACTGGTCAGGACATGCAAGTACTGGTCGCAGCTGGGGCTTTATACGTGCCGTGGGACCCTTGAGCGATGTCTCTGTCCCATCACACAGGGCTCTATTTACTGACCTCTGAGTCCCTAGCACCTACGCAGTGCCCGGCACACAGCAAAACCTTAACAATCAATCAGTGAATGAGCCAAGAAAATCAAGAGACTTGTCTGGAAAAACATCAAATGAAGCAACATTCAAAGTATGCTTTTAAGAAGGCTTCTAGCACCACCCTAAAGATTTATGGTTGTCTAAACTGCTAGAGAAGGTTGTTTACTGTACTCCCCAGGAAAGACTTACTTAATTTTTCTTAAATCCTCCATGAGGATTAAATAGGCAAAATTAGACAAACTGGAGTTTATTTTATTTATTTATTTTTGGAAACAGGGTCTTGCCATGTAGTGCAGACTGGCCTTGAACTTGCTTACGTAACCCAGACTGGTCTCAAACTCACTGCGATCCTCCTGCCTCAGCCTCCCAAGTGCTAGGATTACAGCCATGCGCCACCATGCCTGGCAGGAGTGACATTTTTTATTTCTAGTTTTTAAGGATGATTACTTTTCAGGTAAGTCTTATTTTTGGGGAAAGAGGGTACTAATTTGGGAAGGACGAAATGGGGTCTTTGGCAGTGCCTCTATCTACTGGGAGATAAGAACGAACCTTAACTTGGTGACTATGACTAACAGCTTTGGAGAGATCAAAGCACAGGTGGTGTGTGTGGGGGAAGAGAATAGAAAGTAAAGGGTCATTATCTGGCAAGCAACTTGCCATGTTTACAGAGTATGTGTGATTTTATGCCAGCAATGAGAAGAAATAAAGTACTTCTGACCACTTACCTATCTAAATTCTTGACTCTCCAAGCCCCCAGTATAACTTGGAGAAAGGTCAGGGATCATGTCCCAAGTCCAGCAGATTAAGTAGCCAACTTTTAGGATGGGATACATTAAAAAGCTTCCTAGAAGTCTGAGTTTGGGCCCTAAATCACAGGTGATAAAAAGCCACGGGGTCCTTGAGGGCAGGCTGCTGCCTGGCAGGGTAGGTGTACAGTTTCACAGAGCCGTGGCAAGTCACGGGCCCCACTTCCTGATGCCAGATCCTGTCCAAGGACAAGGAACTCAACTCTTCCACCTGTGCAGTTCACCTGTGGCGCTCTTACAAAGTTCCTTCTGTGCTAGTGAAATTGACCCCAAGTTGTGTCCAGAAGTCTCGAGAGCTGACACAATGGGCCTGATTTATTTTCTAGAGGTCCCCACTTCAAACACAAACAGCACTCTCAGGGCAAGTCCCAAGCAAGACCTCTCCTCCAGGCTAAAAACTATCTGCTCTTTTAAGCAATCCTCCAGCGACAGGGTTCTGAGTCCCCCTCACCACCCACTGGAAAACCATCACTGTGTCCACGTGCTTCTTAAAGCACAGCCTCTGGAAAGGAGCACAGTTCTGCGTCGCTAGCCTGCAAACTTAGAATGGAGTGCGACCATCCATTTGCTCCTGTAACTGGTCGCATGGAGAACTCTAGTGGACGTTTCAGAACCCTGCTCCTCAGCGGGGCTCTCCAGTCAGTTTACTGGGCTCAGCTTTGGCTTCCCTGTTCGCTGACTTCATTCAGTACCTCTGCGTTTAGTCTCCTCATGCATAAGGGGGATAACACCTCCTCACAAGGTAGAGTGTGACAGTAAATTAATTATATCCTAGTAATTATTACACTTAGCAGGCCCTCCTGCCTTAGCCTCCCGAGTGCTGGGATTACAGGCGTGTGCCACTGTGCCCAGCTCCCTAACTCTTGTTCCTTGTCCTTGGACAGTTAGGTTAGCTATCAATACTTAAGTTTTGTCCCATTCTATCGTGGCCTTTCTGAACTTTTATGAACTTTAGAATCCACTTCTTTCTCTGAGGCAGGGTCTCATTGTTTGTTCAGGCTGGTCTTCAGTTCTCAGGATCCACTGTTACAACTCTCTTTCCCTCCACGGCTGCACCTGCACACTAGGTAAGTGTGCCCTGTCCCCTTCCGTCATCAATGAACATGTTAGCAAGGCCAGCTCAGTGCAGATCTGCTCCGAACTGTCCAGTGCGATGACAACCCATTTGCTAACATAGGTGGATATGGCATTCAAGGAGTTGTGAACCACTGTGCTGAATCGCCATCTATCTTATTGTTTCTAAAACTGTACAATTATTTAGAAACATGACATCCTCGCTGTCATGAAAGAACCATCCAGTAGAGACTTGCACAATGCACACGGACCGTGTGGCGGTCTGGGACCCTCACACACTCGCATTATTACACCTTCGCAGTGGGGAGAGGCCGGTCACGTCCACAGCGGAGCTGGCCTGAAACAGGCACAGCCCCGTCCACACGCCCTGACTCCCGGCCTGTGAGACTGGTCTGACTGAACTTACGCTCAGTAAATCCCTGCTGGCTGTGGGTACATGGTTTCCCCACCAAAATGCTCAGAAATCCTCTGTTTAGAAATACTGTCTAGAACCTGGTGGAGCTCCAAGCTCCACCAGCCTCTCTGGGGAATCTACTTTTTTATTCTGGAAAACTGGGAATAGATTTATTTGCTCTCTAATGCCCTTCCCATCGCAATCCCACAAAACAAAACAATACTAACAAATATTTGGCCATCTGGTTTTACTATTTCCGTGTCGATTACTCAAGCTGAGTCTTGGACACATTTAAAGCAGGTAATTTTAACTTCCTGTTCCAAGGCTTCCACATGCAGGGTGGTGATGTACACGTCTTTGAAAGCTGTTTTGTAGAGTGCGCTTTGGGCTGCAAGCGGCGGCAGAAGTGCACGCTTTGCCTTCCCTCTTTGTCAGCGGCGCGGTGGAGTGGCCGGGCTGGCCCTGCTCTAACGGGGGTCTTGCGCAGGCAGGCGTGTGCGTGCGCGCTGCATGTGTGTGTGTGTGGCAGCTTGGAGCCCCTTTCCTACGTACTGTCTTGGCAGGACCTCTGCTTTGTTTCTTGGAGTGGGCTCTGTTCAGGAGCCTAATGAGCTCTTCCCTGTGTGGTCGGGAGCACCTGAGATACAGACGCCAGCCCAGCTTCGGACCCTCTCTGCTAGAGCTCAGCCTTAGAATCCTAAATTGCTTTTTTTTATTTATTTATTTATTTTATTTTATTTTATTTTTTTGGTTTTTCTCCGGTACCAGGAACCAAACTCACGACCTTGTGCTTGCCAGGCAGGCTCTTTTGCCGCTGAGCTAAATCCCCAGCCCCCTAAATTGCTTTTTAAAGCTTCCCTTCTCCAACTAGAGGCTACCCGCCCGGCTCTGCCTAGTGCATCTCTCAGGCTACCGTGACCTGACAGGACTTGGTGACTCACAGGGATTCCATCAGCACCATTTTCTCCCCGGTAGGAGCTCACTGAAAGAAGCACCCTTAATTGGGATGAAGTCATCAGCAAGGCTGGGCAGGACTCGGTCAGATACCGCATTTCCAGTGTGCAGCCGGCACATCTCTCTCACTTGGAGCCAGTGTGGCCCTCTGTGCCAGGAACACGTCCTCCACGTGTCTCTCACACCAGTGCTGCTCCGCAATCCTCTTCCCTCACCCTCACTGCCCAGAGTGTGGCCACTCTTGGGATCCTGGCTGTCCTTCCACACACGGGCCTTTCTACTTGACCCCAGGATCACTACACTTCCCTGCATGCTGCACTGCCGCTCCTCAAGGGGGCACTCCCTTCCACTGGTGCATTCTAATCCTGAGTCCTAGCCCGCCACTGTGGTGACACCTACGACATCACAGTGACCATTCAATGTTACAATCTCAACTTCACTTCATTTTGCTCTGTACACTGACAACATACTCAGGTCTTAACTACACCTTCTGGCATTTTCTTTCACAGTTTTGAGAAACGAATCTCGGCACCTTGCCCACTATAGCCTTATTTTCCTTCAACGTGCCGCCAATGAGTAGTCCCCAGGCCTTCCTCCTACTCTGAGGGAGCGCATGCATTCTCAGCTCCACATCTTACTCGAGTCCGAGGTGTGTGCTGGTTACCATAGGCTGTTTATAATCAGAGCTGAGCCCCGTAAGAAAGGACCATTTCTCACTGCGACAGTGTTCATGTTCTGGGCAAGGTGGTCTACATGTAAGTGTACTAAATACTGATTATACCGAAACACTTCTAAGGCTTTCATTGGTAGGGAAAACAAAAACAAGATTACTGCTTTATTATATACTTTAAACAGCACAGAACCTTACAACTCACATTAAAATCTGTAGGTTGCACAACTGTATCTTATCCTATCTATATTATAAAAATATATACATTTTGGTAGTGCTGGGGATCAAACTCAGGGCCCTGTGCATCAAGGCAAGAGTGCTACCACCGAGTCACATCCCCAGCTCCCCTATGTGTATTTAATTCACATACATCCACAATAAGGGAACTAAGATAGATGACAGGAGGCAGGAAATAACAATTGGAATAATGCAGCTGATTCTGTCCCCTCCCTGAGCTTAATGTACTCCAGTGTGAGACAGCATATATGAGGTGAACCCACAGTTTCCCTGGGCCTGTCAACAGCATGGCTATCTCTGAAATGTGGCTCTAATGTAGAATGGTTCTAATACGCAGTAATATGCGGATGAACAGGGCCCCTGAACAAAGGCAGATACTTCCTCTGGTGCTTAACAAAAGAAACTGCTCCAGAATGGCCCAATACAGGAGCAAATCTGGTTGTCAGATATACTGTGCTTAATAGGTAACTGAAATAATTTTAACCATACTTTAATTTCTGCCTTTTTGATAGACTCTAATTTTTTTTTTTTTGTCTTTCTGAGACAGGGTCTTGCTATGCAGTTCAGGCTGGCCTTGCGCTCACTTTATAGCTCAGGCTGGTTTTGAACTTGCACCGATCCTCCTGCCTCAGCTGCCAGAGTGCTGGGATTAAGGCGTGCGCCACCATGCCTGGCTTTGATAGACTCTAGAATCTAACTTTTACATCCTTTAAAACTAACTTTTCTGACTGGGGATATAGCTCAGCAGTACAGCACCTGCCTAGCAAGTGCAAGGTCCTGAGTTTGATCCCCAGTACCAACAACAAATCTAACTTTTCTGCAAATATCTAAATCACACCAACACATATAAGATATATATTCTCTCCTTCCACTAGAGGGCAGCTGTGTGCAGACAACAAGGGCAGAGAAGATTTCGGAAAGACAGCACACCTGCTGATCTCGCAAGTGTGTTTAGTTTTTATGTTACCTTGAATGTGGCAAATGCGTCTGAAGCGATGTCAAATGTTGACATTTCGACATATCTGAAGAAATCATAAAACTGTTCTGACCACAAAATGATTTTTGCCAGAGGTTCATGTCTGATGCATTCTCTTAACATTATTCCACAATTTAGAGCTATTTCTGGAGATTCATACCTGTAAAAACAAACACAAACAAAAGCCAGACATGATTGCTCTCTTAGAACTCCAATGGTGAACATTTCAAATTCTGAGAACAGGAAGTTTCAGACCTGCGTCCTGAACAATGACTGAGGCACTGACTTTAAATGTTAATTAACTTAAATTAACTTATAATTAAATCGCTAACATTCGACTAGCAGTTACTATATCTTGGGTAGCACAGTTCCCAATCACCCCTCCTTCACTCCTCTGTCCTAAAGCATTTATCCATAGGCTTATCAACAAAATTCCTGCTTACGAGTTTAAAAATTATTTCTGGCCAAGCAAAGAAAAGACAGACAGACAGACAGACTTCTGGGTTTTTAATAGCTAGTTACTTCCCCTCAATGGACCTATCGCTCTGGTACAAGGCTATCTCCCAATCCTGCCATAAAACTTCCAGGTGTTACTCTTATTACTTATTCTTTCTTACAGCTACCCATCACATGGTGCTCACTCCTGCCTCTGGGCCTTAGTTCCTGTAATTTGTTATTCAGACGTTTCCTTTCTTTTTGAGCCTATGCAAATCCTAAACCATTTGGATCGCCAATCCTAAATTCCATCCCTTTTACCAGCCTTTGCTCTATCAATCAAGCTTTATCCTCTAAAATCCTGTAGCATTCATTTGCCACCTAACAGAATTGTCCTTTTGTTGTGTGTATGTTCATCACAGATCTGCAACGAGATCAAAACTCCGGCCCTCCTTTGCATCAGGTAGGGATGACAGCCAGTATCCTGACTGGCTCTTGATTAAGATGTCTGCCCTCAAAATGGCTGATCACAATTTATTTTCACTTATCTTTAATAAGCAGGCGACACGAGGGACAAGGATAAGAGTTTGGTACAACAAGTTGGGCAGGTTTTGATTGAAGTTTATCACGTCTGTCTAAATGATTAAACCATAAACCAAAGAGCACAAGGTAAACAGTTATGCTGCGCAACTTGTTAGTACTGGACTGGAGAACACATTAACTTTTAAATTGCCAGTAAAAACCAGTCTTCCAAACTCAGCCCGATGCTAGCAGTAAGATGTGAAATGTACACAAATACTGGCAGCGAAATTCTCCCCCAGTATCTAACATCGAAGTACTTACAACCTAAGAAGACAACTGTAGTCACACTAATTAACTAAAATACAAAAATCTTAACAGGTAGTTCATAGGGCTCTTCAAAGAAATAGCTATTTCCAGTTTTGGCAGGAACACTGCAAAATGACCAAGGTGGCAATCTTGTGACAAAAAGCAAGAAAGCTATCATGGACCTTCTTACCAGGTCAAGGGGAGCCAACCTGAAGGAGCTCCCAGTGGCATAACATGGGTGAGCATGGACATAAAAATGTAATGACTGCAATGGACTGAAACACATTGTGTATTTAAAAGAAAAACAAAGCAGCCGGGCGTGGTAGCACACGCCTATAATCCCAGCACTCAGGAGGCAAAGCAGGAGGATCATTACAAGCTTGAGACCAGCCTGGGCTACAAAGTGAGCGTAAGGTCAGCCTGAACTGCACAGTGAGACCCTGTCTCAAAAAAAAAAAGAAGAGACCAAAAAACCCCAAAACAACATACTCAATACTCATTTAAGAAAATGGCAGGCCATCAACTAATTAAAAATAAAATGATGATATTGGTTTTCCCATAAGGACCGTACTTTGGGATAACTAAGTCATCAATGAGGACAGGCTTTTCTTTATAAAAGAAACACACTGAATTATATAGAGAAGTAATAGCGGAATCAGGAACGTTCCATTGTGAACCTAGGTAACACACTCAGTGAATATATTCAGGTGAAAAGATCACAGAGAACTTCATAATGGACAGAGTGCAGACTGACAACACTGTAACATCAACCCAAGTGGGACAACCAGTGCCACTCAACAGAAAATACACTGCATCATCTTTGAAGAGTTCGAGACCACCTCAAAGTGAATGTGAATGCAACCAAACCCTTAGGATCTAGCCATCAATTTAGAGGAATATGGTACAGCAAAACAAAACCACAGGCAAGCAAATATATGATTTTTCTACACAACAAATGAGCCAGCTGCTTCAATAAATGGCATAAATTAACAAACAAAAAAGAGGCATACATTAACAGAATGATAAAAGTCTAATCAATCAAATTTAGTTTTTGGACCTTGTTTACTTATTTACTTATTTATAAGAGAAAAGAAACAAAATTTTAAAACAAGGTAATAGGATAACAATGGTTAATACACTGCATATTGCTATTTTTAAATTAGTTAACAAGATAATGGCATTTAATTTGGACCTTGTTTAGAAACTGATTTAAAACTAAGTAACCATAAAGTGTCGTTTTTGTGAAAATTGAGGGAATCTGAAAATAAGGCATTGGATAGAGCTAGGCTTGTAAAAGGCATTATGGTGTTTCACTGTGTCATGGATTACGGATAAGGGATGCACCCTTGACATCAAATCAGGTATGTGAGGGAGAAGCAAAGGATGAGAGCAAGCAGGAATGGCAGAATGGCAGTGTTGAGGTTCAGATCTAAAACACCCCCCCAAATCACATGTGTGTGGAAGGTAACTCGATCCTGAGTAGTTGTCCTCTGCCATGCCCTTCCACTCTGCTGTTTACGCCTTAGAGCTGGCTGACTTTGGACAGAGCCCCTGGAAACTGTGAGCCAAGTATTAACTTCTCCTCTAAGCTGTATGTGTCAGGTACTGCATCTCACCGGCAGGAAAGGAGCTCGTATACTTAGTAACTCCTGAAGCAGAGTTATGGGGAGGAAAGCGAATGCTGTTAGTCTCTGCAGATGTGCGCATAGTTCCTACACAAAGGCTGACTGGCTGGATGGAAGTGGGGGTGGCCCAAACCCTGTTGTATTTATTTTCCATGCTTCTCCTCCTTTCCTACCTGGCTGAGGTTTCCACTCTGGTCAGCTCAGATGAAAGTTTTAACTTAAATTGCATCTCAAATATCTTTACACAATGACTAACAACGCTTCTATCATTTTTCTGGCTATTGTGAAGTCACAGGTAGAGCTAACTAAATTTATGGATCATAATAACCACTGGTTTCAGCCAGGCGTGGTGGCACATGCCTCTAATTCCAGCACTCAGGAGGCTGAGGCAGGAGAATTGTTGTGAGTTTGAGACCAACCTGGGCTACAAGTGAGCTCAAGGCCAGCCTGAACTGCATGGCGAGACCATGTCTCCAAAAGATAAACAAAAACAAAAACAACAATAATCATAAGTTTCTATGGAAAAGGAAATACTGACTTTAAAAACACACAAAGTCAACTGGAAGCTGGTCTAAGAACACCAAAATTCCAACCTACTCACTATATGTTTACCCAGCAACAGTGGATTGATATGACAAAAAATTAGATGTGTATGGCAACATCTGAAGAGGCAACAGATGACCAGAAATAGAAAGGAGGAAATGGAATGCTGGCGAGCAACAATGCACTGACTCACGCTCTGTCTAAGCAAGTTTGAACTTGGGGGAAGTGTTAACCAGAGAGATATGAATCAGAATGAGGCAAGCTGCAAAGCTGTTGGTAGGAAAGCAAGCTGGTTCATGCCACCAGTCATGCCGGTAACATGCTTGTCCACTATCCCAACACTGCTGACGCTAGGACAGAAAGAGGTGCAGCACATCCAGAGCCGGCAGACAACTCTAATGCCCAACAACAGATGACCTTGCTGCTCAGGGAGGCTCTGTGCTGAGAGAGAAGAGGATCTGTTTCTAGGTTTTTTTGCACTGACAAGACTACCCAATCACAAATGGCTGCTTAGTTTGGAAGTAATTCCAGCAAGATGCACTGTGGATTACCAAATTAAGTGGGTTAGTGAGTGCATACACAGAGGTGGAATTCATGGGGCACCACAGCACAACATGGGCTCTGCTGACCAAACGAAGTGAAGCCATGCAGTATCCACACTCCATGTCCAAGGTGGCTTCCACTGCCTTCCAGGGTACAGATCAGGTGCAGAGGAGATGGCTTTAAATATGTGACTTAGCTGATTATTTCAACAAAACTGAACTTTGTTTTGTTGAGTTATACAGATATAAGACCACTAAGTACTTCTTTGCTTCAGTCATGGTTGATTTGTGAATTTAAAGGCTCATAATTTATCCTACTTTAAACCATAGAGCATTTTTATATTTAATTTTGCATACAGGCCGGATTCTTTTTTTCCTTGAGATAGGGTCTCACTATGCAGTTCAGGTTGGCCTTGAACTCACGGTGATCCTCCGGCCACAGGTTCCCAAATGTTGGGATTACAGGCCTGCGCCACCATGCCTGCCTACAGGTTGGATTTTAAGGAGTGAAATATGTTCAAGACTTATGGAAAAATGAGCTGATTAAAATGCTTCCCACATTCATCATTCCTGTTTTACCAAAGCGATCTTTGCTTTTTATTTTTAACTAAGAATATAAATTTTATTACATTGTACATACCCTTTCAATAACATGAACAAAATATTCTGTTGGGTGCAGATGTATTCAACAGTAGGAGTTCTTGTACCAATTTGTCTTCTCAGGATATTGTTGAAAATCTGAGCCACGTCTTTTTTGCCCTATTAGGAATACAATAATTAAAATATTTACCTGCCTAAATAGCAGAATGCCCATCTACCCTCCTAAATACATTTGAAGAAAACCATTTTATATTTACAGCTGACTGAATATCTTTTTTTTTGACTGAATATCTAACTTTAAAATCTTCATAGACATTACATTTTCTTGTTTTTAATCTCTTTAAAATTCCAAATTCTAAATTGTAATAGTATACTATTTTTAACATGAACAACGTTGACAAAGTGAAATCTCATTACATCCCACATGTAATTTCCATCATTTCTTACTCTCAGAATCATACTGACTCAGATACGGAAAATAAAATGGTGCTACTTGCTAACAATCTACAGGGCTCTAAATCCTACTCAAGTGGAAAAAGCTTCAGATGGGATGCTTGTGCTATAAACAATACAGAGTTTTCTTTTACAGTGATGGAAGTTGGGGAAATTACACTCTAACAGTATAATAAAATGAAAGAACCTTGTAAGAAGCTGAGTTTTGATGGCAGGCAGACATTCTAAATAGATTAATAATAAGAGACTAATTAATAATGAAGGACCAAGTAAGTAGCACATGGTACAGAAGTTCACAGAACACAACTTTATACAAAATAGATGGACATTTTTACCACTTATGAATCTCAAAAAACTGCACAAGAAATTAATAAATGGAGAACTCGACCCAAGAGGTGTTTCACAATGGCCCTTGTATCAAGGCTGAAAAGCCCTCAGGCAGTAGTGAAATGCTAGCTTTCTAGCCTCAATTAATGCAGAGACACCATCCAGGGGCTTGTGCTAGCTCATGTGTAGCAACGGCAACTTTTACAAACCAGTGCCAACCAGTCCCAATGGCACACACACACTTTTTATAAACTGGTGTCTCTAAAGTCCCAAATAAATATTAAATCCAGTGTCCAGTTAAGGGAGTAAGATGGGGGCTAGGGGCAGACAAAGGAGAAGGAGCTAGATGTTCCAGTGTATCACCAACTTTGTAGAAGAAAGAAAAATTTTTGTTGGAATTTGATACACTTTTTTTTTGTCTTTTTGAGACAGGGTCTCACTATGCAGTTCAGGCTGGCCTTGAGCTCTGATACACTATTAAAAATACTGTATGAGAAGCCGAGTGTGGTGGCGTATGCCTGTAATCCCAGCACTCGGGAGGCTGAGGCAGGAGAATCGCTGCGAGTTTGAGAACAGCCTGGGCTACAAAGTGAGCTCAAGGCCAGCTTGAACTGCACAGTGAGACCCTTCTCAAAAAGGCAAAAAACAAAACAAAACAAACCTCTATGAGAGTAGCTACATAAATGGAAATATCTTAGTTCTATCTGCTCTACAGCAGAAAAAACATTTATTTTCTTCTATTATCACTACTATCCAAGTAGTCTATGAATCACACCCTCTCATCCTTTGAAATTTAATTTGCTTTCTGTCATTTCCCCCTCTAGAACATTTACCCACATGGATAGCCAATCAGGTGAGCAAGGAAACTGCTTGTGACTATGCCAGGGTGCTTCATTACCTTGTGTGCTTCTCAAACTACTTTATTCAGACTAGTATCAAGGACCATTATTTGCACTATTGAATTCATTAAATATTTAATATGGCTCAATCTAGCACATAAGCTGGGGCAACAATCTCAAATGCCTAATGGGGCTGGGCAGAAGGTGCCAATGGCTAAACCACGCCGAGCTGCCTAAGGAAACCCAAGTCTGATGTCCTGGGTAGCTGCTATGCTCCAGCTGAAGGACCAAGCAGGACTGCAGGCCCAGTATTGCCAGATGAGTTTTCTAAGAGACACTAAAAAATCTGAGTTGTGAATAAAATCTGCTATTTAAATATTGTACTAATTTAAAAACTTAAAATTAGCACCAAGCAAACAAACCACGTAAGATCTCTGCTATAATGAACTTTCCCTAAGATCTTTTTTTTGTCTGTTTGAGACAGGGTCTCACTATGAAGTTCAGACTGGTCTTGAGCTCATTTTGTAGTCCAGGATGGCCTTGAACTTGCAACCATCTGCCTGCCTCAGCCTCCCAAGTGCTGGGATTATAGGCGTGTGCCACCATGCCTGGCCTTTTTCTATCTTAAAACTCTGGTTTTTTGGGATTGTTCATTCCCTGAGAGCTAAGCTCTAATGAATTATGTAACCTACTATACTGCTCTAAAAAGTAGCTACTTATGCATGACAACTTAAATAAAAGGGTATCCTGAATACCTAAGAATACCTAAGAAACTGCACACACAATGTGGCAAACGGAGGCCTGAGACACCCTGGGTTCCTGCCCTGGCTCTGCCAACGAGGCGGCCACGCCGGCATGCTCAGAGGTCAGGAACCCCTGGGCTGAGATCCCAAAAGGGATCTTAAGATTCAAAAGAGAACATATGGTAAAGGACTATGAATAGGGTACTGTTTTAGAAAATCAATAAATTGATATCTTACCTCAAAGTCAATGAGCTGTAAATCAGCTACCAGGGTGCTAAGGAGCCCACTATTATACAGTTCTTGAGCCAGCTGGGCCACTGCTTCTGTCTGTGGCTCCTTCTCATTTGTGCCATACAGAATTTCTTTCATGGCAACCAAGTTTTTGGAAACTTCTTCTGTAGCCTGGTTTTGGGGGGGGAGGGGTTGGAAAAGAAAAACAATCCATTTTAAGGCAGAATAAACATGGATGTTAATAGCATTACTACAAACACATTCAGTATGTTCTAGAAAAATTAAGCATATTATGTAGAAGAACAGAAGATAAAAACTACAGAATAAAAATAAAATGTCTGAGATTAAAATTACAATAGATGGGATTAACAGATTAGATACTGCTGAAGAAAATGTTAATAGACAGAGCAGTAAAAACTACGCAAAATACAACATGGGCTGGGGGCTGGTGAGAGACCTCACAGAGAGCTATGGGTGACCTTAAGCAGTCACATTTGTGTTACTGTAATCCCCAAAGCAAGTGGGTGGGCAGACAAAGGGATAAAAACATGGACAAAGAATGACAACAGATTTCTTGACAGAAATGATCTGAGTCAAAAAGATAGCAGAGAGCCAGGTGTGGTGGCGTACGCCTATACTCCCAGCACTGGGGAGGCTGAGGTAGGAGGATCGTTGTGAGTTTGAGGCCAGGCTGGGCTACAAAGTGAGCTCAAGGCCAGCCTGAACTGCATAGTGAGACCCTGTCTCAAAAAGATAAAAAAAAAAAGGTAAGTGCAGGAAGATTGTTACATGACTAAAAAAAATGCAGTCAAATAAACTGTCATCTTAGAATTTTATACTCTGAAAATATCTTTCAAAAGCAAAGATGAAATAATTTTTTAAGAGGAAAGTTTCTGAAATTTTATTTTAGAGAAAAAAGAAAATAAAAAATACAGAATTTCAAAACAAAAGGAGATTAACAACGGTTAATATATTGTGTATTATCTTCAAATAAACTGCTCAGATTACAAGATACAGTTATGCACGACTGATAAAACAATATACGCACAAATCGTTTTTTCAACAAACTAAAAGAAGTCGGTAGTATATCTTATGTATATATGTGTACATACATATATATGTATTTTTCTTATCCTGTCCTTTTCTCCTTTCACCCATCCCAGTTGTTCTTTCTTTCTGAGCCGTTTCTTTCCCTTTCACAATATCTATTGTAGACTTTGAGTCTTACTTACTTTTTCAGTTTCTTAGATGTATATAAGCTAAAAGATTTCATCACCAGTAGACTTGTACCATGGATATGCAAAAGATGAAAACTGGGCATAGTAATGCAAACAGAGTAAACAGAAAATACTTTCCCCCTATTATTTAAAAAAGCCTTTTAAAGTAAATTGGCTATTTAAAAAAGTTGGAAAAGTCTATTTAAAATGAAGAATTTATGACCAGAAATATACCTAACAGATAAATTAGCACGGATTCACAGACTGGCACGCAACAGTACTTAAAGAATGCATGGTACACCATTTCACAACCTTCCCACCTTACCAAATGACCACATTACTTCATCTTGAGTATCTCCAGTGTCCAGTAATGCAGTATTGCCAGATTTCAGATCCAATAGCTGTTAAACAATTTTATTAGGAGACAAACATTGCCTCATCACACTGTGTGCTGGCTCTGGCTTTGCTCTGCAGATCAGGCAGTATTTTCACTTCTCTTCCACACACGGGCTCTTATTTGAAGCAGCTTGCCTGTCTTCCATAAATTGTCACCTTTTCCAGAAAACCTTCTTTGAGTTTCTTTAATTATCATTCTAAGAAAGGCAGGGCTGGTGCTCTAATCCTATTTGGAATGGATGATACCAAAGCCACCAGACCACCGCTTGCCCATTACAAATGTTAATGTAGCCCAAAAATACCTGTAAGAATTTTGGCAATGCTATCCCATAACTGACTCAGGAAATTTAGAGTAAACCAAACCTCTTTAGCTTTCACAGGTCCTGCTTGTGAAAGCCAAACTTGCCAAATGTTCTTAAACTGGAGTGAACAACTCTTCTCACGATGTAACCTCATCATCAGCCTATCATTTGAGGCTGTAGAGGTATTTCTGCTTTGAAGAACATCCAGCACATCAGCTATTGCTTTCACATCTGTGTCATCTGAGCTATCTCCTAGGTGTGCCTCCACTGCCTGCATCAAGCACTGATCAAAATGCTGACAAGAAAGAATGACAATCGGAGGCTACCATCATGGCTTTGAATTGTTGTGCTCTTTTCAATACTGATCTACTAATAATGTTTGGGTATGGCTGCTCAGCCACTTAGTATAGGCACCTCCTCCCAAAACATTCGAAGAACTTTGTGTTAAATATATTGGTTTTAAAACACTTTCTTCCACGTTTCCTGACTATAAGAAAATGAAATGAAGTTCACTTCGTATGGTTTTTCTCTTATTTCTATGACTTCTGGACTTTTATAAATCCTCAACAAGTAATTCCACTGAGACCTTATTCAATATCAATGTTAAGTGAAGTATTTCTTTTCTACGCCACTGTTATTACCTTATTCTCTATAAGACTGAGAGATTTTCTGACAGCAGTTTATCAGCCTATAAGCAACTTGTAAGCAACACAAAATACAACTTTTCTGGGTCAAGAGAAAATCATCTAGCAACACTGTTCTCTTATAATTTACTCACACATGTTGTTTTTTCAATTCCATTTCATTAATCTTTATTTTTAGATGATTCTGAGACAGAAGAATGTGACATTTAGTAGGTTTCTTGAGCACAGTGGTAGCTCTGCTTTTCTGGTTAGACCCAAGGTTTAAGCTCTTAGCAACTCTTCAGTTGATACTTTTCTTTGAATTCATTATGTAATTTTAAATTTGAATTTACACCACACTCCGTACTCTCCTCTGGCAACATGTGGTTGACAAAGAAGGGAGATGTGTGATAGCTAAGGACACAGGCTTCTTTTTTGAGGTCATGAAATGTTCTAAATTTGACTGTCATTATGATGATACACATTTATAAATAAATTTAAAACTATGGAACAGTACACTTTAAATAGGTGAACTAGGACCCAGTTAATCCTCTTCTTAGCATCTTTCCGAACGAATTAAAAGCATCATATCACAATGACATATACACACTCATGTTTATAGTGGCACAGTCTGTAATAGTTAAATCTTGGAAATAGCCCAGATGCTCATCAACTGATGAATGGATAAAGAAGATGTATTTTTTTTATACAATGGAGTACTACTCTGTCATAGAGAAGAATAAACTTGAGACATTTCCAGTTAAATGCAGGCACCTGAGGCCATACTTGTAAGTGAAATAAATCAGACACACATGTGCAAATACTGCATTGCTTCTCTGGTGTGAGAAACCAAAAGTGTAAACAAGGACCAAAATGTGTAATAGATATTGTGAAATAGGAAGAAAATGTTCAAATGGAAAGGGGGACTAGGGAATGCGGAGAGTTTAAGGAAGGGAAAAGAAAAAAAATAAGAATGAAGGAAAAAATGGAAACAAAGCTTTTGTAAATAAGGAAGGGAGGAGAGGTTGAAGGGAAGATAAGGGGATGGGCAAAAATCAAGTCTTATCATGTACAGGTACAAATTCCCTAGAATGTAGCAATAAATTCAAATAATTTAAAAAACAGGCAAACTATATGGTATGTGAATTACATCTCAATAAAGCTGCTTTATAAAAGGGATGAGAGAGGAAGGGACACTCTTACACTTCTGAGTGGAATGGCAACTTGGACGGTGCTACAAAGCCCCCACTCCTTTTGGAAGACGTCTCCTACATTACGGGGGCAAATGCCCATGGGACGACACTCACTACCTCCATTAGTGCTCACTGCTTCTGCACCCCGCCCCTCCTGTCTTTTCTGGAACTCACTCTAACAGCTCCTCTTCTCACACAGCCAATTCTCCCTCTCAACTGTTTTTCCCGTACAGTGCATAAACACATTCCCACTTTCCCTAACAAAACCAAAAAGGCTCTTCTTGGATGACATCAGCTCCCGCCCAGCTCCCGCCCACCTTCGCGGCAGTCCACGTTTCTTTCCTCATTCGCTCCTCAGCCCAACTCCACAAGGCTTCTACACCTAGCACTTTTCAGCTTAGTCGGTTACCAGCGACTTACTTGCAGGCCACTGAACGCAATTTTCTATGTTCATTATGCTGGGGCTCTGGGAAGCATTTAGAGTTGATTACGCTTTCTTTTTAAAACCGTTCTTCCCTGTCCTCTGATTCATCACTGTCCTAATTATCATTCTTAGCTTTTTCGTTTTTCCTCCTCGGTCTCTTGGGTTCATCCTCCTTGGGTATTAAGCATACCTCAAGGCAGGGCACTAGGCTTCCTTTTCTCATTCTGTAGTTCCTCTTTAAATGATACCATCCACACCCACTGTTTTAATTAACTCCTAAATGCAGACACCTCACAGATTTCTATCTCAAATCCAGTTCTCTACTCCCTGGCCTTATGAGCACATTCAGCAGTCTACTCAATGGATGTCTCGTGGTACCCCAAATGTAATCCATGGGAATCAGGACTCACAATCTTGTCTTAATGCCTGGTTCTTCCCCTGTTCCCTATTTCAGACAACAGCAACACTACTGATGCTACTATACTTGTCAGAAACTCAGGGTCGGGCTGGGGATTTAGCTCAGCGGCAAAGCGCCTGCCTGGCAAGTGCAACGTTGTGAGTTCAGTTCCCGGTACCGGAGAAAAACCAAAAGAATCGGGTAAAGCACAGAAACTCAGGGTCATCCTCACCTCTTCCCTCTGCTCCAGTAGTTAAGTCATCACCAGCTCTCCCAAATCCTTCCATATATGACCCCTCTACTATCAGCACTCAACTCAGAGTTCCCTTAACTCTTGCCTACACTGCTAAGCAGGCTATCTGCTGGTTTCTGTGCACCCCTTTCAATCCCTTACGATTCTCCACAACAGGGCTGGGGATATAGCTCAGTGGCATAAGTGCCTGCCTGGCAAGTGCAAGGTCCTGAGTTCGGTTTCTGGTACAAAAAAAGAAAAAAAAGATTCTCCACATCACAACGACAATGATCTTTCCATAACACAAATGGGTGATTTGGATACTTCCTCTGGTAAAAATGCTCCAAAGATTACTGCACTTGGGATGGAGCAAATTCTTTCTTAACC